GAGGGGCTCCTTTCAGCCCTAGCTCTATATCGTTGCGACGTGCAGCCCGACCCAATCATATAAGTAGCCATAAGGCTCGTTGCGGCGTGCAACCCGATCCACAGTCCATAAATAGTCATAAGGCTCGTTGAGGCATGCAATCCGATCCATATACCCTCACATAGCTCACAGCTCGGCACTCAGGCCCTATCTCAGTCACTAACCTCTACAGCCCTCTCGGGCTTTCAGAAATCATACAAATCAGCCAAAAGAGTTAATAACAAGTGTCAACAAGAAAACAAAAGGAAACGGAGATATGACTCGCAAGTAGCACTGTGACTGAAATCAAGACAGCAAATAGCAGTTAATCAATAAGAACTCGACCGCTGCGGGTCCCAATAGTGATAACATATGGCCTAAGCATGGTTTCTAACATGAATGATAGTCAAAATTCTAGAAGACAGAGGTAACATGTAATTAACAATAAGCTATTCGACTTTACAGTTTCATGGGACGGACCAAGTCCTAATTTCCCACGGTGCACGCCCACATGCCCGTCACCTAGCATGTGCGTCACCTCCAAAATAATCACATCATACCAAAATCTGGGGTTTTAAACCTTCAGGACCAGATTTAAAACTATTACTTACCTCAAACCTTGCAAAATCCTACTCCGCAATGCCTTTGCCCCTCGAATCAATCTCCAAACGCCCTGAATCTAGCCACAAGCAGTATGATATAATTAATATAGGCCTAAAGAATCAATTCCACAAGAAAAATACGAAATTATAAGCCAAAATCCGAAATAGGCTCAAACCGCCCCCGGGCCCACGTCTCGAAATCCGACAAAAGTCAAAAAAGGTGAACACCCATCCACTCACGAGTCCAACCATATAAGAATTACTCGAATCCAACCTCAAATCACCTTCCAAAACTCGAAATTTTAGCCTATGAAGTTTCTACCATTTCCCCCCAAATTTACAACTCAAATCCCTAATTAGATGATGAAAATAGCAATAGATTCATGAAATATAGTCCAATCCGAGTTAGAATTACTTATCCCAACAATCTTCTTGAAGAAACCTCGAAACATCGCCTCACACCGAGCTCTCAAAGTCCCAAAATCGAAATGGGAATCAAACCCTCGAAATCCTATTTTTCTGCCCAGTTCTTCCACATTTGCGGACCTACTGTTGCACCTTCAACGCCGCACCTGTGGAATTTCCCTCGCAGATGCGGAAATAACTTAAGGGACCGGGTTCGCATCTGCGAGCAAGTGGTCGCACCTGCGTGTGCGCACCTGCGGACAAATGTTTGCTTCTGCAATCTTCCCCTCCATCTCACTCTCCGCATCTGCGGAGCTTCGAGCGCATCTGCGGGCTCGCAGATGCGGAAATGACCTCGCACCTGCGACCCTTGGCCATCTCCTTAACTCCCGCTTCTACGCTCCTTCACCCGCATGTGCGAGTACACACCTGCGGTCTCCCCACCGCAGGTGCGAAACCACCATATATCCAAAAACTTCAGCCATTTGCCTAAGTCCAAATTCAAATCGTTAAATATCTGAAACACACCCGAGGCCCCCGGGACCTCATCAAAATATACCAACAAGTCCTAAAACACCATACAAACTTAGTCGAGTCCTCAAAACACGTCAAACAACAAACGAATCACCCTCCAATCCAAACTTAATGAACTTCGAAATTCCTAAATTCTACAAATGATGCCGAATCATATCAAACCACGTCCGATTGACCTCAAATTTTGCACACAAGTCATATTCAATATTACGGACCTACTCCAATTTTTGGAATCGAAATCCGACCCCGATATCAAAAAGTCAACCCCCCGGTCAAACTTTCCAAAAATTCGACTTTCCCCATTTCAAGCCTAAATTAGCTACAAACCTCAGATTCACAATCCGGATATGCTCCTATGTCAAAAATCACCCAACGGAGCTAACAAAACCGACGGAACTCTATTCTGGAGTCGTCTTCACATAATTCTCAAAAATCGCTTCAATCCGAGCTCCAGAGCTCCAAATACGTTAAAATGGCTGAAACCTCGAAATATAGCTTCTATCCAATCATTTACTCTTCGCGATCGCGAAGCACAAAATTTTTTAGCCCAAAATTTGCCTTTTGCAATCGCGGAAACCCAATCGCGATCGCGAAGAACAAACTCCCCAACTCTTCTAGACAGACTCTAGTATAATGATCATACCTTTTTGTAAAAAAAAACTCCAAATGACAAATAGTTTGACTTTATGTAAAATATGGATCAAGGGCTACAACTTTCATTTTGGATCATCTCCAAATTTCTTATAGATTGCGAGATATAAGCTTCCAAAATCGAGTCAGTGCAGCAGAGATGTTTTTCTACATGATCGCGATTCACAAGCCCCGAAATTGCTATTTGCTCTTCGCGAACGCGACCAAATGTTTGCGATCGCTATGCACACCTCTGTAGGCAAAAATCAGCAATTAAAAATGGCCTAGAAATGATCTGAAACCACCCCAAAACTCACCCGAGCCCCTCGGGACCCCGTCCGAACATATCAACAAGTCCCAAAATATATTACGGACCTATTCGAGGCCTCAAATCACATATAACAAGATCAAAACGATGAATCGCACCTCAATTCAAACTTAATGAAACTAAGAAATTCCAACTTCTACATTCGATGCCGAAACCTATTGAATCAAGTCCGATTGACCTCAAATTTTGCACACGAGTCATAAATGACATAACAGACCTATTCCAATTTTCATAATCGAATTCCGACCCCGAAATCAAAAAGTTAACTCCCTGGTCAAACTTCCAAACATAAACTTCATATTTTCGCCATTTCAAGCCTAATTTAACTACGGGCTTCCAAATAATTTTTCGGACACACTCCTAAGTCCAAAATCACCATACGGATCTATTGAAATCATCAAAACTCTATTCCGAGGTCGTTTACACATAAGACTACATCCGGTCAACTATTTCAACTTAAGCTTTAAATCTTGAAACTAAGTGTTCCAATTCATTCTGAAACCTCTCCAACGAGTCAAAAAATTATAATTGAACACACGATAAATAGTAAATGGGGGAACATAGCTGTAATACTCAAAACGACCGGTCGGGTCGTTACATTCTCCCCCACTTAAATATACGTTCGTCTTCGAACGTGCCAAGAGTTGTTCCTAAGCCTTTAAATCACTGTTTGATCCTCCCATGCACATTCCCGGGGGTGATCCCATGCCACCCTATTCCATATAGGCCTGACAAACACATCATAATTAAAGATCATTAATTCAACCTTAGCCCATAAACCTTGGAATTCAATTCCCAACATTCAAAATTTTATTTCAAGACCCGAATCTCACGTCTACACACTGTATAAGTTTGAAAAAACTGTATCAAGCAATAACCATGACCCCATATATAGTCACATACTACACAACTCGCATACTCGTAGCTATAATTTCTAATCACCATAGCTGCTTAAAAACGAACTTGATACCGGTGATAAACCTCAAATCAAATAAAACCTCATTCAAAAACCTCCGTACACTGCCAATAATGAGAGAAACACTCAAAAACTCATAACCACTCATCAGATCAACTGGTCATGGAGCTCTCTTGCCCCAATCAGAACCATAATCACTTTCTAAGTCGACTTTCAATATTATCCTCTCGAATATACCGCAATCAAACCTGATAGTACCCATTCTAGGTCCAATGACCTTTTATTATTAATCACAACTATCCCACAGATATGTCACACCAATATAACTCAAGCCACAACTATGCAATTCGTGTACCCAAAAATAGGAAATGTCTCAAAGAAGAGAACCGTTTCACAAGTTCAACAAGCACCACTTCAATTGCAATGCTATGAGCTCATCATACATAGTAGAACTAAGACACACGAATCTAATAACAGTAACCAGGCCTCCTAGAGTTCACATTAGAATCAACTACACGGACAACTTACGTGCCAATAATATCAGTATATGGATCTGTATGGACAACTCACGTGCCAATAACATAATCAGCTTGGCATGGTCACAGGCCTCCAGTCCAAGCATATCATACAGGAGCAATCAAATAAGTACATATATATATGATAATGAAGTAAGATTCTCACCCTCCTGGACTTGTATAATAACACGCCATAGAGTAGGCATGAACAAAATGTGCTATCACAACTCAATCGGCAAGTTAACGCAGAAATAGTAACTACCCAGTTTATTCAGGGAATTAGCTTCTTTGTAACTTCAAGTATAGCCCAGATAGTTCTCAACAAAGGTACGAATACGAGAAACGTTATAACTTTATGCTTAACAGTCAATTCTAGGCATATCATAGCCTAAGCACTCTTTCGAGTATGAATACTTTCCCTGGTGCCCGCACATGGGCTCGAACCTCGCATATATGCGCACTCATAGCGCGTATCTATCACAAATATCTAACGCAACTAGTGCCTCCACTGAGTTTAAATAAAATATTCACCTCAAACAGGTCGCAACCTTGAAACAATATGCTTCTAAGAACTCCCAGTCTCCAAATTCGTAGAACACATGAATCACCGTAACTGGTTACAACTCCAGCACTCGAATGACTATCACATCCTCCATGCACGATCATCCCACTAGGAATACTTTCATAATTTCGTGCCACATAGAAATAATTTAAATATCAGCAGTCTATCAACCAGGTGAGTACCACAATACCGATGAACAGGACATCCGTAAGTCAAAACACAATGCGCTTTCTCAAATGCGCACCCTTCTCAGGAATTACTGAGCAGTTATAACATTCATCTAAATATCTGAAATTGATCATGTTGTCCAAAATTCGTGACCTTCCCTTCAAGGCTGATGTAATATCCCACATTAAAATAAGGGTAGTTAAGTAATTGCAAATAAAAAAAGAGAGGATCAAACTAATAAAAGAAAAAAAAAAGAATATAATTAGATGGGCCGAACTCACCAAGTTGATGACCCATAGGGTTTAAAAATAAAAAGGAGATTGAAGAAGCTTTAGAGCTATCCTGCGAAGAAGAACAAGAACGGAGAACAAAGAGTAAAAACAATTTGAAATTTCAAGAAGGAAAGAACAAAGAAACAAGTAGAAGTGGAGAAAAGTTCTGGAGAATGAAGGGGATATCTACTGACAACAAGATTTTTAGAGAAGAAATAAACTTTGGTCATTGATTACTGTAGAACGGATTCGCATACCCAAAGAAATAGAGGTAACAATGTGTTTTATTTAAACTAGTATCCTTACATACTGAATCTATGACGGGTTGAGTTAAATTGTAATACTAGAATTGAGTTTGGTATTTAGCTGTGGTGGGTAATAGCAGCGTGAATTTCTATGGTGAAATAACTAGTTCTTGAATAACCATGAGCCTGGAATGAAGAAATTATTAAGAATTAGATTTGATAGAATTATGGATAGTCCCATTGATGATATTTGGAGTAACACCAAGATACGTGTAACCGGAATTGTAATTCCCTATCACTTAAACTTAGTGAATTTTGCGGTTAGCATATCGTAACCCTAAACTTATATTGATTTATAGATTCACACGAGTTGAGCACTTGGATCGATAAGAAGTCATCGGGATTGCTCGAGGTGACACGTTTGGTATTTCGACACGAGTACTGTGAGTAGTAATCTTACCGCAATTTGTGTTTTCATAACCTGCATGGTTTATACGTTCTTTTAAAAATAAAATGTGTTATCGAATGTTTGAAATTGCATGTGGGACGAGTCCTTTACTTGATATGGTGCTGAATAGTTTACTTGAGATGTTTACAGTTATTCAAAAGATTCTCATTGTTACTTGACATGTTTTACTGTTACTTGAGATATAATTACTGTTACCGAAATTGGATTACATGATTTGATAAGAATTGAAATGCCCTGTACTATTTTAAAAACGTTTCCATGTGAATATTTACTGTTTATAAAAAAAAGTATAAATGGGAGGAGACTTTGAAGGATGTCGTAGCTAACGGCGGGTTCGTTAGACCTGGTGCACCTTGTATATATAGATTACAGATTACAGTTATAGCTCTCGCTAATGGGAAGGTAGAACTAGCATATTGTTACAGTTTTCCCTCGAGTAGGGACCTACAGTTATATTTGACTCCTTTTACGAAGGGGTCCCCACAGTGATACAGATTACATGATCCTTTCTTGGAAACCTTCCAAACATAAAGATTTGCTATGAGACAGTGTTTACCGAGTTTAGTACCAATTTATTAAATTAATTACTGTTACAGGAAGCACATGAATAGACTGATTATATTTACCATTTTTTTATAGGGCAATTTATTTTTATGATAGCTTTTGATTATTATTATAGAGGCATATTTTCTGACTTGTCCCCATTAAAAACGGTTGTGGTTAAGTATTATTACTCACTGAGATAGCGACTCACTCTTCGCTATTATTTTTACAGAGGCAGCAGTAGACGCAAGCGAGGATTTCGTTATTTAGAGTACATGAGTTGAAAGTTTCTGGTGAGCCCCGCATTTGTTCGCGTGGGCAAAGATTGTTATTTATTTGTTATAGTCTCTTTCTCGAAACTCTTAGAGTCACTCTATAGTCGTTTTTATTAGTGTCATGAGTATTCATTCATTATATTGGATTATTTACTAGCATTATACTTTCTTTCCGTATTTGTTTTAGATGGGTTTAGTGTTATAATGTTGGTAAGGTTGGTAATGTTCGTGAAAACTCATTTTTTTGTTAGTTGATGAAGATTATGACAGGTTTAGGTGATTATGGGTTGGCTGTTAATTGTTTATGAGACAAAAAGGTTTTTGGATAGTCCTAAAATAGGGTAAACTCTGTTCGATTTTCTGTAAAATATCGAGGAGGCTTACTTGGGGGCAATTGCTTCTAGGCACCGGTCATGATCCTAAATTGGGCCGTGACAACTGAACTTCCCCCTTGTACATATAAATATTACCCCCACACAACTCCCCACATCTATCATGCCATCATGTGAAAAGCACGAGAATCTTATTATCAACTCCGAGTCACCAGCAAATTACATACCCGGTTATTTAGAAACCTTCCTCTTTCTTCCTTCCATGTGAAAATCACAATACACAACACGTTCCTCACACCGGTAGAAAATATCCGGCTAAAACTATGGTAGAAACTATCAAGAACTCTTCGAAACCCATTTGCACATAACCAAGCTATCAGAACTTAATTCCTCTAACTCGACCAAGCCACACAGATTGCCAAATTTGAGAGTATTGCCACAAAATATCTGTAAAGCCTAACCACATCATAATTACCCCCCATAAATACCACAACCGAAACACCCACTCTGAAAATACCTTATGTGAATTTAAAATTGTTCTTTTTACCTTTCTTATACTAAAATATAGAATCCATAGTCATACAAAATTACCGCAAGTCGCGGAACCATCTAGTGTAAATACCCCATTCTAGTGCTATACAAAATTCGGAAAATTTTCAATTACTCCATATATATTTTTAATCCATTAGAACCCTCTCGAGATTCATCCACTCTACTCAAATCTAAATTGTACCGCCCAAACGGGCCAAAAGACACGTGCCCCATTAGCACAACAACACTCATCTCATGCTTTTTCATATACTTATAAAGTGCAATATAACCCGTATCCAGGAATTTTCTTATTCGAGTCATCCTTAATCTCAACCTCCGCGAGTCATAATGGATCCACAATTATGCCTCTAACCCAAAAACTAGTGTTTAACACATAACTATAAAATTAAATCGTCAATAGCAGGCTCCCTCACTTGGCTCAAAGCCATAGAACAAAATATTCTATAACTCACAATACCCATACTCTATTACTGCCATAATACCACAATCAGTTCAACGAAAATTCTTCTCAAGCTTATGCAATACCAATCGTAAAATACCTCAATCATCCGCTAAGCTAGCATTTATTCTCTTGACAGTCAATTCAACTTCTCAACCAGATTCAAATTCAATCTCAACACATACCCCCCGCTGGTAGAAAAGAAACTCTTCACTGAATATTATTAAGAGCACACCTCCGTAGATTACTCTACATGAGATAACCTACATGCTTAGCCTAAAATTGGCATCTTGATATACCCTTTCGCAAGCACAATCACTACGCGATCACTTAATCTTCCTGAGTCTAAACTCATTAACAACACATGAGAATTTAATTTGTCCCACAATTTAACAACATGAAAAATCTTTCAACACACTCATAACTCGAGACTATATGTCACATCAAGACAGAAATCACGCACCCAATAGTCCTTTTCACCTCCTAAACAAACTCTTCCCGTCATATTCAAATCATCTGGACACAACCCGCGGTTACATCATACTCATCATATGGTCACCCAACCACTCATCCAGCCACAATTTCACTAGTAGGGACACTACCGGACATATGAGTCCAAATATACAAGTTACAACTGAAGCTACCGAGCTTAATCTGCAGTCTAACCCTGGCCTCAAGTCCTCCAGACTGGCCCATCACCAAAACACTGAATACTCATCTCGAACTTCGTTCATGGATTCACAAGCCGGCGATGTACAACTGATACCAAGCACTCACATGCACACACAAATGCGTGAAAGGAATTCAAAGAGTTATGTTTCAAGCTCAATCAATTCCGCACGATAAGGAATGAAAGATGAAAAATTATCCTAAATGCCCTGTAGCCTCTCGAAGATAAGTATAAATGTCATCATACCGATCCGCAAGACTCTACTAGACACTTGCTCATGACTTATAGAACCTGAGATCTGATACCAACTTGTCATGACCCAAAATCTACCTAGTTGTGATGGCACCTAACCCAACCCGTCAGGTAAGTCAATTAAAAACTATCCAATTCAATTAATATTTAACTGTCTCTAATACACTCCCCAAGGATTGGTAGTACAAATCATGAGCTTCTAAGATTAGAATTTACAAAGCTGGTATGAAATAAATACATCATCTATTCAAAATGTACAAAAATAGATTTTTATAAATCTAAGGCTAACATGAACAAGAGGCAGCTACGACCGGAATACAGGTACATCTTCAAATCCATCTCCCGTCGATCACAACAACATCAATATCCAATATGTGCATGCAAGGTGCAGAAGTGTAGTATGAGTACAAGTGACCACATGTACTCAATAAGTAACAAACCTAACCTTAGGTTGAAAGTAGTGACAAGCTGGAACAAAGGTCAGGGTCCAACACCAATAGCCAACAACAATTCATAACAACATAATAGAAGTAATAAAAAAAGTAGCTCAGAGATAAAATGCTAAGATCATTCACAGTTCTAGAAAAATAGTCCTGCTTTCAAATATATCATTGAAAACCCAAATCCTTTACCGAAATCACCAATTTATGAGTAAGTTTGAAAATTGTAATTTTTCCCAAAACTTTCAACAGGTAAATGTTTTATTTTTAAAAGGCGTGAGAAAAATACATCTCTATGCCTATATGTCAATATGTAGGAGAAGTCACGAATGATGCAATATCATACAACATGAGGAAAAATACATCTCTATGCTTGTATGTCAAGTGTGCATGCCAATGCGATGCAACTCAGTGATAAAACATATGCATACTCTCAGAGTATTATTTCACTCAGTCCTCCCAGTCACTCAGTCCTTCCAGTCACTCAGTCCTCTCAGTCACTCAATCCTCACAGTCACTCAATCCTCCCAATCGCTTGGCACTCGCACTCGGCATTTAGCACTCACACTCAGTAGGTACCTGCGCTCACTGGGGGTGTGTACAGACTCCGGAGGGGCTCCTTCAGCCCAAGCGCTATAACAAGCCAATCATGCCATAAATCAATAAAACATGATGCGGCGTGCAGCCCGATCCCATCATAATTCCTCACCATCAGGCCCTCGGCCTCACTCAGTCATCAATCTCTCCGGTCTCTCGGGCTCACAATGTCATGAAAATAAGCCCAACATCATGATATGATGTATCAATAAATAGTAACAGAGACTGAGATATGGCATGCATATGAATGCATATGACTGAGTATGTAATTGCAATGTAAGCAAATAACTCAATAGCATAAATGACCTCAGTGGGTCCTAACAGGATAAGCATATATCCTAGACATGGTTTCTAACATAGATCATAGCTCAATTACTCTAGCACGTAGAGATTTTATGGATATAAATAAGATTAGGTAACTACACAGTACCACAGAAATAACTGAGTCACAATTCACACGGTACATGCCCACACGCCCGTCATCTAGCATGTGCGTCACCTCGACACCAAACACATAACGCGTATAATCAGGGTTCATACCCTCAGCTCCAAGTTTAGAAGTGTTACTTACCTCGAACAAGCTAAATCCAATGTCAAGCAAGCTAAACAATGCTCCAGAAAATCCATTATGCGCGTATCAACTTCCGAACGGCTCAAATCTAGTCACAATTAATTCGATTCAGTCAACACAAATTATAAGAATTAATTCTATATAAAAATACTAATTTTCCCACAAAATCCAAAATTACACACAAAAATTGCCAGTGGGGCCCACATCTCGGAATCTGACAAAACTCCCAAAATCCGACAATTCATTCAATCATGAGTCCAACCATACCAAAATTACTTAAATTCGACCACAACTCAGCCTTCAAATCCTCAATTAAAGTCTATAAAATTTTCTACCATTTTTAACCTAAAAGACTAATTTAATGATGAAAACAATAATATATTCATGTAATTTAACCAAAACCGAGTTAGAATCACGTACCCCAATCCATATGGTAAAAATTTCCTCAAACATCGCTTCAATCCGAGTTCCATAGCTCCAAATATGTCAAAATGGCCGAAACCTCGAAATATAGCTTTTGTCTAGGCATTTACTCTTCGCGATCGGAAAGCACAAAATTTTTCAGCACAAAATTTGCCCTTCGCGATCGCGGAAAACCAATCGCGATCGCGAAGAACAAACTCCCCCAACTCTTCCAGACAGCCTCTAGTATAATGATCATAACCTTTTGTACAGAACTCCAAATAATAAATGGTTTGACTTTCTGAAAACTAGACATCAAGAGCTATAACTTTTATATTTGGATCATTTCTAAATTCCTTATAGATTGCGAGATATAAGTTTCCAAAATTGGGTTAGTGCAACAGAGATTTTGTTGTACGCGATCGCGAAAGAGCTTCTGCGATCGCGATTCACAAAGGCCCCAAACTGTTGTTTGCTCTTCGCGAATCCGTCCAAATGTTCGCGATCGCGATGTACACCTCTGTAGACAAAAATTAGTAATTAAAAATGGCCTAGAAATGGTCGGAAACCACCCCGAAACTCACCCGAACCCCTCAGGACCCCGTCCGAACATATCAACAAGTCCCAAAATATATTACGGATCTATTCGAGGCCTCAAATCACATATAACAATATCGAAACGATGAATCGCACCTCAATTCAAACTTAATGAAACTAAGAAATTTCAACTTCTACATTCGATGCCGAAACCTATCAAATCAAGTCCGATTGACCTCAAATTTTGTACACAAGTCATAAATGCCATAACGGACCTATTCTAATTTCCAGAATCGGATTCCGACCCCGATATCCAAAAGTCAACTCCCCGGTCAAACTTTCAAACTTAAACTTCATATTTTCGCCATTTCAAGCCTAATTTAACTACGGTCTTCCAAATAATTTTTTGCACATACTCCTAAGTCAAAAATCACCATACGGAGCTATTGGAATCATCAAAACTCTATTACAGGGTCG